ATAATAAATATAGAGAAAAAATATATATATAGAATAAAAAATTTAATAGCTATAATTATTATTATAGAAATAATAAATTTAATAATAATAATAATAAATATAATAATTTCCCAAAATAAACCTTTTTTTTTGCACAATTTTTTAGAATGTAAGACTTTATTAGGTATGGTCACACCCAAAGAAGTTTTACGTTCTGATTTCTTTAAAAATTTCTCCCTCTCATCAATCACAACACACTGGATGCGTGGCTACGCCTAAAAACTTCGTCTATTCTGCTCATCCTACCATGAACACTATATCTGCATCAAAACACCAAAAATCAAGGCATGAGACTGACTCACAAACACAACAAAAACTTAAAGCACACAAAATAAAATTAAAACACTTGGGTTGCCTCCCAAGAAGCGCCTTTGTTTTATTGTCATTGACTCGACACAAGATCTCTTAAACTAATCACGTGGCTCAAAAAGAGCTACGCATTCCACTTCGTTGCTCTGGAACCCCTCATAGTAAGGCTTAAGATGATGTTTATTCACAACAAACCTTTTATCCGTGCTAAAACCTTGAATCTTAACTGTACCACATGGAAACACATTAGTAATTGAAAACGGACCTATCCAACGATAACGAAGTTTACCCAAAAAAATCTTAAGATAAGAATGATGAAGAAAAACCTTTTGACCAACATTAAAATCTTTTCTCAAAATATTTGGATCATGAAATTCCTTACTATTTCCTTTATTAATCCTAGCATTCTCAAAAGCTTTGTTCTGAATTTCTTCAAACTCTTGCAACTGCAATTTTCTTATTTCTCTAACTTCAAAGACTTTCTACACATTTTGATCAAGGACATCTACACAATACAAAGCATGAGGTTCCACGGGATCATTCGATTCATCAAAAATATTGATATGAACTTTTACACCTTCGAATTCCATGGTAAGTGTCCCTGTCCTAACATCAATTTTTGTGTGTGCAGTAAACATAAAAGGGCGTCCAAGCAGAAAAGGTGAAGGATTAGGCGAATTTTCATCATGCATATCTAAAATATAAAAATCAACAGGGAATATTAACTCATTCACTTGCACAAGAACATCCTCAACTATCCCTTCGGGGTAAATGTAAGTTCTATCAGCTAGTTGAATCACTATCCCTATTTCTTTCAAGGGTCCAATGTTCAAAGAATTAAAAATAGACTTAGGCATAACGCTAATGGTTGCATCTAAATCTAGCATAGCTCTTTTAATTTCCATCTTACCTATTTTGCACGGGATGACAAACATACCTGGATCTCCGCATTTTTGTGGCAATTTTCTTTGCAGCACAGTGGACACAGTCTCTCCAGCTAGGACCTTTTTGTCCCCTCTCAATTTTTTCTTCTTGGTACATAGCTCTTTCAGAAATTTGGCATAACATGGGACTTACTTAATTGCGTCAAGCAAAGGAATGCTTAGCTCCAGTTTCTTAAACATCTCCATGATCTCCTTGTCATTATCACTTTTAGCCGGTTTCGCTAACCTGTAAGGAAATGGAGCAATATTATAAGTCGATTGAATAGGTGGTTTAGAGATTACCTGATCAGTTGACTTGTTCGCTTCTTGCTCTCTCTCCTTCTCAATCTCCTTTTCGGTTTTCTCTTTTTATGAAATAACCTTCGGACCTTCTAGCTCCTTACCACTTCACAAGACCATTGAACTAACATTGCTCGGGTTCATATGGGTTTGAGCCGGTAGCTTGCCTTTATCCCTTTCTTTCATGTCACGCACCTCTTTCACAACTTGAGAGATCTGATCTTCCAAGCTTTTTATACTAGTTCTTGTCTCTTGCTGAAATTGCAAAAAAATTAGAGGCAATTGATTTCACTATATCATGCAAAAAGTTACCAGGACTAGGAGCTTGGGGCATGGTCCATTGTTGTTGCTGCTGCACAGGTGGTTGGAATCCCGGTGGTTGTTGTTGTCCAAAGAATTGCTGATTCTGATTCCCATATCGAAAATTGGGGTGGTCTCGCCATCCTGGATTGTATGTGTTTGAATAGGGATCATAAACCCTTCTTTGTGCAAATCCTGAAGCATTCACTTCCACCTCTTGTGTCAATGTAGGACAAGCATCCATAGGATGCTCAACACTCACACAAATCCCACATGGCTTCACTTGAGTGTTCCCTACAACAAGTTTTCTCACAAAAGAAGTTAACTCATTCAATTTTTGTTGCATAGGAGAACTTACCTCGGCAACTTCTTTCACTCCCACGACATCCCTTGGCCCAAATTGTTGAGAGTTCATAGCAATGTCATTCAGCAATTCCCAAGCTTCTCTCGGAGTCTTGTTCATGAGAGCTCCTCCACTGGCATCATCGATGATCCTCCTGTCAATAGAAAATAGTTTTTCATAGAAATATTGGATTAGAAGTTGCTCAGAGATCTGATGTTGCGGACATTTAGCAATTAACTTATTAAATCGATCCCAATACTCGTAGAAAGACTCCCCTGATGTTTGTTTGATGCCAAAGATCTCTTTTCGTAAATTCGCAGCCTGGGATACGGGAAAGAACTTTTCAAGGAACTTGCGCTTCACATCCATCCATGTGGTCACACTTCCGGCGGGCAAGTTGAACAACCAATCCTTGGCTGCATCTTTCAAAGAGAATGGAAAAGCTCGGAGTTTTATCTGCTCCTCAGTGATTCCCGGTGGTTTCATGCTCGTACACACCACATCGAATTCCTACAAGTGCTTGTGTGGTTCCGCCCCTGCCAAGCCATGAAAAGACGGAAATAAATGTATTAGTCCAGATTTAAGCTCAAATGTCGTATTATCGGCTATAGCAGAAAAGTAATACACAAGGGATGCTGAATTAAATCGGGAGCAGCTAGCTCCCAAAGAGTTCTATGTCGTTCCATTGGATGTATCACAACTTCTTCAACCCCCTTGGCCTCTTCACTCTCTTCGGAACTAGAAGTGTCAGCCAATTGGATAGATAAGTCAGGTTTCGACGACTCAACTTCTTTTTCAACCCTTTTTCGCTCTCCAGCTTCTTTCCTCAAACAGTGTGCAGTCCTTTCGATTTCTGAATCAAACACTAATTCACCTGTACGACCAGTTCGAGGCATAAACCATTAAGAGAAAATTAGAGCTAAATAAAAAAAACAACCAAATATCAAAGATCCTTATACTGTTCCCCGGCAACGGTGCCAAGATTGCACGCGTGTCGCACAGCTGCAAAATAAAGTATCAGTTCCTACGCCACAAAAAAAATTTGCAAAATGCAGTTGCTCAGTGAGTAGGGTCATCTCCGCAGGGAACAATAATAATATTGAATATTCGGTTATTTATAATTATACTATATATAATGGGGGATTATCACACTAAATAATGAGAAAATAAATTTGCTCAACTAAATAAAATAAAATAAAATGCAAGGCAGATTACCAAATATGATTAGACTCTAGCATAGGCATGAATATTATGTTCGGGATATAAATTTTGTTCATCGACTAAAAATCAAGTTCATTGACTAGTTGGATAAATTGGTTATAGTTGATCTCACGTGTTCTGAACCAACCTTTCCTAACTTTTTCGATAGCTAAGGTATGACCGTTAGCTATTTCCCTAATCGAGTGAGAATCCTAGGTACGACCATAGTTTTACTGACTCGACAACTTTAAGTACTAGAAAGATCCAATTCAATTTCACAAAATTCCTATGCGGATTTGTTTAAAATTGATTCTAATTCTTCCCAAGAGTATTTCTCTAGGTTGCTACACCAATTGGAAAATTACACAATTACGTGTGCCAATCTCCAATTTAGCTACGAAATCTCAAATCAATATGTGCGCAATAATCAATTTAAGATTTCCAAAATTATAAATTAGAAGAATTATAAATACCCAATATCGATGAACACCAAATTAAACAAAATCAAGTCTCACAAATTCAATCCCAAACATAAATTCACACCTATGCTAGAAAGAAAATTACTCGAAATTCATAGGAATTGAAAACACAAAACAAATAAAGAAGTTCATCATGCCTTCAATTTTGAAATCGACAACGAAGAACAATATGAAGATAGAAGAAGAACGCCCCGAAAAGTCGTCTGCAACACTGTTCCAAGTTCTCCTCTCTTCCGTCGTGTTCTTCCTTCTTTTCCTTCAAATAATATGGTGTCGTGGTAGAGATGTGGTAGTCCCCTTCTCTTCTCCTCTTCAATTGAAAAAATCGTGTCTCTTCAAGTCCATCCCAAGATCTCCTTTTTAATAGATCCCCTTTGCACTTCGATCCTCACATACTCTTTATATTGTTAATTTACCCCAGAGGGCCTTTTTGTAAATTTCATATTTCTCACATTGTGTTGCGTGATCACGTCTAAAGCCTTCGTGCGTTCTGCTCATTGTCTCCCAAATACACCCCAAACATGCCAACTCCATGAAACCTATTATGCAATAAAAAACACAACAAGAGTTGCATATATACGAAATTTTGTATCTCAATAGTCGCCCAAAACATAATAAAATATCATTATATACAACGCATATCACCCATGTAGAAGGGCATTTTTCTGGCTCGCGCACAACAGCCAAAGTTTTGCAATCTTGTTTTTTTTGGGCAACCTTACAGAGAGATGCTAATGCCTTTGCCAAGGCTTGTGACAAATGTCAAAGACTAGGCTATATCTCAAAGAGAGATGAGATGCCTCTGACTGGAATCTTGTTTGTGGAGTTATTTGATGTTTGGAGAATATATTTTATGGGACCTTTTCCGAATATGAGTGGAAAATTTTATATCCTAGTGGCAGTGGAATATATGAGCAAGTGGGTTGAAGCATAGGCACACCCGACTAATGATTCTCGCTCAGTGATCCACTTCTTCAAATACACTATTTTTACAAGATTCGGGGTTCCCAGGGCTATCATCAGTATAGAACAGGTCCGAGTCAAATAGCAATGATTCGAAGGGCACCCACTTTGTAAGTAAGGCGCTGCAGTCATGCCTTCAAAGCTATGAGGTTCGCCAACATCGAACTACTCTCTAGCTTCCACAAGCGAACGGTCATATGGAAGTTTCCAACAGGGAAATCAAATACATCCTCCAGACCACAGTCAACAAGAGTCACAAGAATTGGGCCGAGAAATTAGATGATGCGCTGTAGACATATAGAACAACCTTTAAGACGCCAATTGGGATGTCGCCCTATCGGTTGGTATAGGGAAAAGCTTGTCACCTCCCGTTGGAACTCGAACATCGCGCGTACTGGGCCATTAAGTATCTGAATTTTAATCTATTGCTTGCCCAGCAGAAGCACGCAGAGCGAGTACTTGATTTAACAGAGTTCCGGTTTCTTGCATATGAAAGTGCAAAAATATATAAGGAAACGATGAAGTTTTCTCATGACAGGAAATTGAAGAAGAACAAATTCACTGAGGGATCCAAGGTTACACTGTATGATTCTAGGTTTCACTTGTTCCTAGAAAAATTGAAATCTCGGTGGACTGGGCAGTATATAGTCAAACAAGTTTTGCCAAACGGAGCCATCATAATCAATGATGTGGATAACCCCAAGGAGAGCAACTCATTCCTAGTCAATGGAGCGAGGCTGAAACCTTATATTGAAGGGTTTGTACTTCAGTAGGCCGAAGCAGAGATTGATCTGATTTAATTTCAGGAACTCGCTCCATGATATGAACTTAACCAAATCCATAATTACCTAATCTTATATTCGCTAAAAGATTTAATTGCTTTATTTTGTTTCTTTCCTAGTTAGAATTTTTATCGCGTTCCTAGCTATAGTTTATCGCTTTAATAGGAAGAAATCTTGCTTTCATAAGTAGTTTATTGCTTTCAGTAGAATAGAATTTTAATTGTTTTGTTATCGCTTTTCTAGAATGGCTTAAGTAGATTTTTAAACTTGTAACCTGAGTCTGGCCCAAGCTAACCTTCACTTCGCTTGTTTCATTCTGATACATACTAGAAGAGTGTTATCGCTCACCCAATACCGCTTTCTCCCTCGCTTGCGAGTCACACTTAGGATAATTAGAAGTAATGCTTTAACCATTCACCCACCAAATAACCCACCCTTAAGCCTTTATAATAATATAATAATATTGGACTGACAGGAAGCTGAACTGTCTACTGCTTACATCACATTAAGTGAGTTATTTAACCCTCTCCTATAAATACCCCAACCTCGCTCATTTCCATTTTTACCCTAGAGTAACTTCTTCAGTACGCCACAAAGAAACCTCCATTTCTCTGTGTCCCATAATTCAAAAAATCTTAATCCTTCAACTGATTTTAACTAAATCTGAGGTAAGATCTAGATTCTCCTTCCTCTAATTACTCGATTTCATGGTTCATTTCTTCGAATTTCGCACTCATTAACACAAAATCACTGAAAATTGTTTGTTCATAGAACTTTTGCAAAATCTCTATAACTTGATTTTATGTGAATCTAAATATGTTATCTGCTAGATTTATATATAATATACGATATATGCTAGATTTAGATATGATATATGATATTATTACTTTTTGTGGATCGATTTTCCATTTTTCAATAGATTTTTTGTGTTCGTGATTTTTCACCCCTTGTTTACTACAAAATCCTCTCTACAGTGTTCTGTTTCATTATGGGGGGGAGGAAATAGGGTTCAAATCAATGAGAGTTACGATAATTTTTCTTGTTTACTTGATTTTTCTTCCATTTTGGAAATAGTAATGCATGTTAGAAATTCTAAATCAAGCTCAGTTCCGTTCACCAAGTACTGAAATCCCTAGGCTGTTGAAGTTGTCACAATAGATCCAAGTGAGAAGAAAATTGGTGTGAAGGAAGAATTTGACAAAGTTGAAGCGAAATTAACAAAGAGAATTCAAATGATATTTTCCACGGACGGGAGGAGAGTGGTCGAAAGAGGCGAAGGGGAATTGGTTGAACCAAAACCATCGGAAGCCTATGAAAAATGAAAAAGGGTGCTTGAATTGACAGAGGATTGGGGTGAGCTCAGAAAGTTGAAATCTGTTGAGTTTAGAAATTATATCCCAGTTTTCCCAGAGGACTACCTCATATTTGAATATACAAACGAAACCGAGCAGAGGTGTCATGTGAGCCACTAGTGGTTGAGCTACAAAAGGCTCAAGGATTTCCTAAGAGAAGATATCGAGTAGGAGTTCGCTTGTCAAGCCATCGGAGAAAAGATGAGGGCCTACCGAGAGGAGAAAATCACAAAGAAAAATGGCACCAAGGCAGCAAAGTCTTTACTGGCTTCCAAGCAATATGACTTGGTTCATTTTTCTATTCTGGAAGTGGTGGTGGCCTATGAAATGACAAAGGCCACAGGAATCCTCTATGAGAGAGAAAATGTATTGCTGGTGAGGGAATTCTATGCTAATATGAACCAAGCCGAGAGTCCAAGGAATATCTATGTCCGAGAAAAATGGGTAGACTGCTCGGCGCGGTGAATCAACCGGGTCTTAGGGTGGCAGTTCCACTACCCAACCCAGGAGATGGAGGACAAATTGAACGCAGCGGAGCATTGTGGCTCACTCGAGTTGCAGTCGCTTTACAAGACCTTCGCCACCACCCCGGAGTATGAAAAGAGAAATCTAAAGTTTGGGTCAGTGGATGACAATAATAAGGAATGGGTCAAGTGGTCACTGAGCAGGGTCATGATAACCTCTCACACCACAGACATCATACCTGAATATTTGCTCGTGTTGCGCTCAATTTTAGAAGAATAGGCTGATACAGACATGGGCGCGGAAGAAGATAGACCGGACGTTGGGTCACGGGACCCTGATTACAGAGCTGTGCAGATGCGCGGGCATTGATTTGCCCACTCCAACCCCTAAGCTACAAAAGAAGCCGTTGTTGCCAACGGCTTTCCACAAAAATTGGCTGGAGTCCAAAGGGTTTAGCCTGATCTCCAAGGAGAAGAAGAGAAAGGCGAAAGTGACAACCCCCCCCACCCCCGCCCAAGAAAAAGAAGATGAAGGTAGTAGGGGAGAAGATTGTTCGCTTTCCAGAAGAAGGAAATGGAGAACAGAAAATGGTGTCGAAGGTTGAACTGGAAGGGACCACTGCTGAACCGGACTCGGAACGAACTATCTCCGAGGAGACTCCTGAGGAAGCCCAAGCCGTTGCTCGTTCGCTTGGAAAGTGAAGGAGAGCTTATTCAGCGAGGAGCAAGCCCAGAGCGATAAGGGTTGAAAAGCTTTGGAGAAGGCCGCTGGCGAGAAAAGGTCAAAGTGCAAAGAAAACCCCACTCTTAAGCCAACTGTAAAGACACCAAGGATAAATGTTGCACTGAAGAAAACCAAAAGCCCCTCTTGGAAGCTGACAAGGAAGGAGAAGGGAAAAGGGAAGGCGGTGGAGGAGCAAATCAACCCGGATGAGATCTCTCTCTCTCTCGCTTGCAAAAAAAGGATCACAATCAGAGAGCCCACCGACCAGCCCGAGTGACCTTCGCCAATAGAGCAACCAAGCAGAGCAACGCCACTCCGCCAAATTAGTGCAACTAGCGATGAATCTATCCCTTTCAACCAGCAGGGGGCAAGTGAGCCAACTGTTGCTGGAGATCTTGGCGATGAACCCACTTCCGTTAACCAGTCGGGGGTGGAAGAGCCAACTGCTGCTGGACTAGAAGAGGAACAGGAGACTGTAATCACAGAAGAAACCATCGACGGCATAGACATAATCGTGCAGTCATTCAAAGACCAAATCGTTGAGGTCCCTGCTGCCACAACCACGGAAATTGCCGATGAAACGGACACGGTTGAGGCAGTAGAAGTGGAACCCATGACATACAGCCCCCACACGCCAATGAAGATAACTGCACAGAAAAAAGCTCTGACTCCATCCTCAACCAAATCTGACAAGACCATTATTGACAAAAAAAAGGACGAAGAGGAGAAACAATAAGAGTGACAAGCTCGGCTGCTCGCAGAAATGCATAAATTAGAACAAGAGCGACAACGCGAGCAGAACAAGAAAAGAAAGATGAAGGTGCTGGCCAAACTAGTCAAGTGGTGGAAGCCGCTGACCCAGCTCCAGCTGTGCTTCAGGCAAGACTTTGAGGCAAAAAAAGCAGCACAAACAAGCATATGAGGCAGTGATGCAGTTAATTTTTCTGAGGGACGTCACCCCAGAGCTAGCACCCGATTCCAAGGAAGAGCCAGAGCCAGTGGATATCAGTTTCGGATTCGAGCGACAATCACCAGCACCCGCAGAGGCCAGCTCCTCACGCGGTGTTTGAATCAATTGAAAAATGACTGGATGACCTCGACGCGGCACTGCTAAGCTACTATGTTCTAACACAATCACTGATCAAAAACCATGCCGAGAATCTGGCGAGCCATTTGGCTTCTGAGAGCTTTGTGCTTTCCGCACTAGAGTCGCGTGTTGAAAGGCTAAAAACTCAAGCTACAAATCTGGGGAGGGCGCTGGAGAGCCTCAAAAGAGGGAAAAGCAATATTTTAAAGGCTCTCGCAGCTGCCACCCAGCATAATGCGATTTTGATGGAACAATAGTTTGATTCAGCCAAGAGCCAGCAACGACTAGAGGAACTAGTGCGGCAACTTGTCAAGCATCTTCCTAAGATAAGACGTGGATCCTCGAAGCCCAATGATAAATTATTTTGGATTCTTCCCCTATCTTGTACATAATTTTGGAAAGGAATGACAAGGATTGTAAAAACATTTTTTCATGATCAATGACACGACGAAGTTTTGCTAACAAGTCGAATCCTTCAATACTATGTGCCTATTTTAACTGCAATTATGCGTTGTTACTTGAAATTCTTTTAATACATTGCCGCGTTAGACCTATGATATGTTTTAGAGTAGGTTAGACAATTTGAGAGAGCTGAACTTAGTAATTTTTCCTTTATCTTATTCAATAATGTAAATATTGAGTTAAACCAAGTACCCGCTGATATGACTTGAAAAGGTTAGTGCCCCCTTTGTTTCAAATTTTCCATACTTAGTAGTGAAAACGAACTTTTGTCTATCGACTATGCTCAAATGAAACGACATTGAAAAGGAAGTTCTTAAATATGGTCTGAAAAATGATGTAAGTGACACGGGGAGGACCTATTATTAAAAGGACTAAAAAGGCCTAGGTGCGATGAAAATCAAATAAGGTCACGACCAGACACAATGTTTGTTTGAAACTTTGTGACCCATCGCGAAATATAGTTAGCGATGCAAAAATAAAATAAAATTCTGCACCCTTCGGCTGAAGATTCCCTTATCAAAACAATAGTTCCCGCTGAGCGAGCAAATTTAACTATGCCTGGACGATTCCGCTCATGTTAAATCAGCTTGACAGGTTTTGAATGCTTAAGGATCAATTGCTTATATTTGAGATTCACTCTACTCACAACCATGAGACTGATCTTATGCAATACTTGACTGCCTTGAACGGGTTAACTCCTTATCGCACAATTGAGTTTGTTCGAGGACGACCAAAGGTTTAGTGTGAAGATGTTTGATAACTCAAAATAATAGCATATTCAGCACTTGACAAAATTGTGTATTACTTGAATTTTTATGTGAAAACCATCAAAAAATCTGATTTAGGGCACACTTTATTGAATTATTTTGCTTGGTATGATCCAGAGCGCGTCTGTTGAATTA